CAGCCTCCTGAGTAGCTGGGATTACAGGCACGTGCCACCATGCCCAGCTAATTTTTTTTTGTATTTTTAGTAGAGACAGGGTTTCACCATGTTGACCAGGATGGTCTCGATCTGTTGACCTCGTGATCCACCCGCCTCGGCCTCCCAAAGTGCTGGGATTACAGGCTTGAGCCACCGCGCCCGGCCCGGGACAAGAATTCTTTAACTTCAGAGGCAGTGAAACTACCAATAGCAAAAGGTAAAAAAGAAGAACTACGAAAATGTTTTGGGGCCCGGATGGAGTTTGGGACAGCTGGCCTTCAAGCTCCCGTGGGACCTGGAATTTCTCGTATGAATGACTTGATCACCATCCAGACTACACAGGGATTTTGCAGATACCTGGAAAAGCAGTTCAGTGACCTAAAGCAGAAAGGGATCGTGATCAGCTTTGACGCCCAAGCCCATCTATTCAGTGGGGGTAGCAGCAGGTTTGCCCGACTTGCTGCAACCACATTTATCAGTCAGGGTATTCCTGTGTACCTCTTTTCTGATATAACGCCAACTCGTTTTGTGCCATTCACAGTATTGCATTTGAAACTTTGTGCTGGAATCCTGATAACTGCATCACACAATCAAAAGCAGGATAATGGTTATAAGGTTTATTGGGATAATGGAGCTCAGATCATCTCTCCTCATGATAAAGAGATTTCTCAAGCTATTGAAGAAAACCTAGAACAGTGGCCTCAAGCTTGGAATGATTCTTTAAATGATAGCAGTCCACTTCTTCACAATCCAAGTGCTTCCATTAACAAATACTGTTTCTACGGGGCACGGTGCCTCAAACATGTGATCCCAGCACTTTGGGAGGCTGAGGCAGGCGGATCACCTGAAGTTAGGAGTTTGAGACCAGTCTGACCAATAGGGTGAAACCCCATCTTAAAAAAAAAATACTGTTTCCACAGGAACGTGAAAAGGGAGACAAAGGTGAAGTTTGTGCACACCTCTGTCCATGGGGTGGGTCATAACTGAGCAGTCGGCTTTCAAGGCTTCTGACCTTGTTCCTCCTGAGGCCGTTCCTGAACAGAAGGATCCAGATCCTGAGTTTCCAACAGTGAAATACCAGAATCCCAAAGAGGGTAAGTTGTTTTGACTATCTTTTGCTTTGGCTGACAAAACCAAGGCCAGAATTGTTTTAGCAAATCACCAGGATGCTGATAGGCTTGCTGTGGCAAAAAAGCAAGACAGTGGTGAATGGAGAGTGTTTTGGGGCAATAAGTTGGGGGCCCTCCTGGGCTGGTGGATTTTTACACCTTGGAACGAGAAGAACCGGGATTGCAGTGGTTTCAAAGACCCTTACATGTTGTCTAGCAACATCTTCTCCAAAATCTTGCGGGCTATTGCCCTAAAGGAGGGTTTTCATTTTGAGGAAACATTAACTGGCTTTAAGTGGATGGGAAACAGAGCCAAACAGCTAATAGGCCAGGGGAAAACTATCTTATTTGCATTTGAAGAAGCTATTGGATACATGTGCTGCCCTTTTATTCTGGACAAAGATGGACTCAGTGCCGCTGTCATTAAGTGCAGAGTTGGCTAGCTTTCCAGCAACCAAAAATTTGTCTCAGCAACTAAAGGCCATTTATGTGGAGTATAGCCACCATATTACGAAAGCTTCCTATCTGCCATGATCAAGACACCATTAAGAAATTATTTGAGTGCCGGGCGCGGTGGCTCAAGCCTGTAATCCCAGCACTTTGGGAGGCCGAGGCGGGTGGATCACGAGGTCAAGAGATCGATACCATCCTGGTCAACATGGTGAAACCCCGTCTCTACTAAAAATACAAAACATTAGCTGGGCATGGTGGCGCGTGCCTGTAATCCCAGCTACTCAGGAGGCTGAGGCAGGAGAATTGCCTGAACCCAGGAGGCGGAGGTTGCGGTGAGCCGAGATCGCGCCATTGCACTCCAGCCTGGGTAACAAGACCGAAACTCCGTCTCAAAAAAAAAAAAAAAAAAAGCTTGCAGCAAATTTGAAATTTCTGCCATTAGGGACCTTACAACTAGCTATAATGATAGCTAGCCTGATAAAAAAGATGTTCTTCCCACTAGTAAAAGCAGCCAAATGATCACCTTCACCTTTGCTAATGGAGGCGTGGCCACCATGGGCACCAGTGGGACAGAGCCCAAAATCAAGTACTATGAGCTGTGTGCCCCACCTGGAAACAGTGATCCTAAGCAGCTGAAGAAGGAACTGAATGAACTGGTCAGTGCTATTGAAGAACATTTTTTCCAGCCACAGAAGTATAATCTGCAGCCAAAAGGAGATCAAAATACTCTAGCCTTGGGCATACTTGCATTTACCTACAGTTAAGCTGAGTTTAACTTGTTAAGCAATATTTTTGAGGGCCAAATGATTCAAAATATTACAAGTATTTATGTGTTTCACAAAGAACTACATTCCTCATTGTTTCATGTTTGATCTTTAAGGTGAAAAAAGAAAAGATGGCCAAACTCAGCAAACCAACATTCCTACTAAAAAGTTGAAGTTGGACATTTCATTTTTACAAATGAAGATTTTTAAACTAAAAAAAAGAGATAGATTGTAATTGATGTGCCTTAATTTGCAAAAATCATAAATGTTTGTCCTGTCTGTAATTCTTTTTATGTATGCTTGAAATAGCCAGAAAACCTATGCAGTTGGTAAATTCTGGACTGTCATATGTGGGACAGCCACTTTTTAGGTATATGTAAACTTATGTTTCTATCAATTCCTTATAAAGTAAAATAAATGAACAGATCAAATGTTGTGTTCATGTTTGGGGAAAATACGATTTGTGGGAACCTATATGAAGTGGAGCAAAAGCTGCTTTAAAAAGATACGATTTTTTTGTCCTAGATTTTTTTTAAGTTCTATACATGTATGTAGCATATTAGTACATTGTACGTGTTAGGAAAAAACAGCTTCACTCTTTGTTTAATGTGTTGAAATTCATTTTATCTTTTTAAATTTTGAAAAACAGTTGATTAATTGAAACTTGAAAAAAAAATTAAGGCTTCAGAAAAGTTTTAGTAGTGATATCTAAGGAGAGATAGAATTAAGATCAGTACATTCACATGATTAGGATGATCACTCTGACAGTTCTGTCCCAAAAATGAGATTCATCGGCCAGGCGCGGTGGCTCACGCCTGTAATCCCAGCACTTTGGGAGGCCGAGGCGGGTGGATCACGAGGTCAAGAGATCGATACCATCCTGGTCAACATGGTGAAACCCCATCTCTACTAAAAATACAAAAAATCAGCTGGGCATGGTGGCGCGTGCCTGTAATCCCAGCTACTCAGGAGGCTGAGGCAGGAGAATGGCCTGAACCCAGGAGGCGGAGGTTGCGGTGAGCCGAGATCGCGCCATTGCACTCCAGCCTGGGTAACAAGAGCGAAACTCCGTCTCAAAAAAAAAAAAAAAAAAAACAAATGAGATTCATCTTCATTCTTGAGTGTATTGAGCAATACCAGTGTGGATGGAAACAATAAAGGAGATATTTAATGTAGGCAGAAATGTAAACATAAACAGAGAAGCTAAAGTTTGACTATAATACTTGTGTCTGCACATATGTTTGTTATTTGTGTTGTGTGTTCTACCATAATCCCATACAAGTTGTTCATCTTAATGAAAATGAAAGTGGCAGGAGGCAGACAAATCTTAGGCAGACAGGGGCGGGTTCCTGGTGAAACCAGATCTTCAAGCCAAAGACAGTTTAAACCCTAGCTAGAAGTCCTGGATGAATCCACGGACCGATTGAGAATCTCTCTTCCTGTTTGACACACTTTCCTCTGTTCCCCAACCTTCACCTATTTTACATATACCTACTCTTCCCTAGTTGGTTTTTACACTGTTGTGCTCACCTTTGAGTGGTGCCTTTGTTTTAACCTTCTTTGCATATTCACAAACCAATCAGCACACCCTCCTCCATTCTGAACCCATACAAGCCTCAGACTCAGCCACACTGGGGAACTGCCTGCCTTTGAGTCTGTGTGTGGGGTCTACTTCAGGTAGGGACCACCCACATGGGGTTCCCTCTGTGCGGAGAACTGTTTTATCATTCAATAAAAACTCTTCTCCACCCTTCTCACCCTTCAGTTACCCATGTAACCCCTTTCTTCTTGGACATCCCCTCTCTCTACAGTGTCTTCCATTGATTAGACTTTGGAAAACCTTTAAAGCCCGAACTGTAGTCATGTGCCTCTTTTGTTGGAAACTATCCATGGCTTCCAGCGTTCTCACGGTGAATCCACAGCCCCCAGCCCGCTTGCTCTTCCAGGAGGAACTCCGCCTCACACTTTGCTCCCGACAGAAGCCCATGGAACCCAGGTTCCATCCTGCCGGTTCGGTCCATCTCCAAGCCTTTGCCCGCGCCGGTCCGCGTGCCTGTTGCTCTCCCCAACACATCACACGAGTGTCAAAAACAGGGCTCCTCCCGCGAGAGCCTTAGTGTCCCGACGAAGGGGTTCGGATGCAAAGCCGAGGGCAGACGCCGCTCCTTCGCTGCCTTAGGACTGGGGTGATGATGAGGTGACTTGACGGCACGTAAGGCGCCACAGTTACCTGAGCCGGGAGCCTCAGGGCGGCCGTCACCAGTGGACTGTGCGGGGAAGGCGTGATCGGGAGGAGGCGACTAGGGCAGGGACCAGGCCACGGCGGTACCGATACTGGCATGGCGTGGATCACACTAGGTGTCTTCAAGGAGCTGTAAAGCTGCCCCTCTGAAACGGGGACCATGACTCCTCTCCACCTACTGGGTTCACTCACCGCAGTTCGGACCCAACTCTTGGCGGTCTCTCACAGGAAAACACACCCAACACGAAGGAAAATGACCGCTCCCAGAGGACGCCGGAAGTAGCGTTAAATGCACACGCGGAACCGGCTTTATCTTAAGCGCTCATTGGCTCTGTTCCGTTGCCGTTTGACACAGAGCTTTCTGGGTAACGTAGTTCACTAGGTTCGAAGGCGGTAAACAGGGCGTTTCCCAGAGGCGCTTCTGCAGGAAAAACCCTGCTCCACCTTAAAGGACATATCCTTCTAGAGAATATGGTCTTACCTAGCCTTAGAAGCCGTATTGAGCTTTCTGGGAATTAGTGTCTGTAACTGATCACTCAAATATTTGGAAAAATATTATTACATTTTAGGGAACTCGAGCTCTCCGATGCTAAAAAAATGTCATTTCGGAGGCTCTCAAAGGCTAAAAATCCAAATTGTGATAGTATTTCGAACAGTCATTCAGCAGCAAAATTCCTGCACTGGAAGTACAGGGTAAAATCTGTTATTGTGCTATAATTCACATGGATCCACTCTGAAGTATCAGAGTCTGTCTTCTCAGTCTGTCAGGGACAGGAGAGAACTAATCCAGATAGTACAAGACAAGGAAGATAGGAGAGAGATGTTGCGCTCCCTAAAGGAGTACATGGTGAATCTCTGTCTGTGGTCCCCACAGAAAACAATTATCCTGCCTAAAATATCAATCAGTGTCCAGTTCATGAGCAACACTTCTCAGAACTCCCTGATCCAACACAGTCCCTGCAGGTTTACTCATAGGAAGCAAGGGGCTGCAAAGTGCTGGGGTCTGGGTATGGATTCCCCTCTGGAACCTCTGGGCCACTTGCTTGAGCTCTCTATGTCCCTGTGAACACAGGTAGAAACTGAGGCCCAGACTGGGGATGTCATCTGCCAGTGAGCCTTCAGCGATGCACAGGGATTCAGGTTCCATCTCAGGCCAACTTGTCCAGGGAGTCACACCCTCTCTTCCCCATGTCTTCAGGGCTCAAGGAACATCCTCATGCCCTCTTGTCCCTGAGAGTCCTACACTGATCCCCACCCCGTGATGACGGACAGTTTCATCTTTTCACAGAGAGCTGTTAATGGAAGTTCCCTGAATGGCCACATTTATTTCCCCAGCCCACTCAAAGGTCAGGAACTATAATTCTATTTCTCTGAGGGATCCGTAGCTCAGGAAGGGTGACAGACTTCCACAAGGACACAGAGCTACCAGGTCATTGAGCTGGGGATGGTTTCTTTTTTTTTTTTTTTTTCTGAGACTGGGTTTCACTCATGTTACCCAGGCTGGAGTGCAATGGCGGGATCTCGGCTCACCGCAACCTCCGCCTCCTGGGTTCAGACAATTCTCCTGCCTCAGCCTCCTGAGTAGCTGGGATTACAGGCACGCACCACCATGCCCAGCTAATTTTTTGTATTTTTAGTAGAGACGGGGTTTCACCATGTTGACCAGGATGGTCTTGATCTCTTGACCTCGTGATCCACCCGCCTCGGCCTCCCAAAGTGCTGGGATTACAGGCTTGAGCCACCGTGCCCGGCCTGGGGATGGTTTCTATATACCACTCTAGTGGGCTTCTCTCCTGCTATGCATGCCCTGCCTATCACCATTATCGCTATCAAAATGCCATTTATTTCATTGATCCTCTCAGGAGACTGGTAAGAATTTCTCAGAAGTAACTCATTATGTTAGCCATTAAAAAGAGTGAGATTCAATCATTTTTGTAACAACAGTCTGAGCCTCAGTTTCCACCTGTGTCGGTAGGGACAGAAACAGCTACCCAGGCATCAGGGGTGAGGGTCTAAGTGTAGGTACTGCAAGGCCATAAGGATTTGGGTTGGATGTACCCTGTGTTCGGAGGTGTTCTTTGGGATGGGGGACTGGAATATGTGTGGCGGGGCATATTTACCCTCAGTACTGCTGCGACTGCAGTCAGGGATGCTATAGCCACTGTGGGATCTGAGTGAGGGGCAGCCATGCCTCATCCTAAGATTTAGCCTATTTCCTGCCTGTGGCTGCCCTGCAGCCTCCCTGGGTCTGTGGAGCTCCAGGCTCCCCTGAGGAAATGGGGCTTCTCAGAACCCCCTGATCCAGCACAGTCCCTGTGGGCTTACTCATAGCAAGGAGGGGGCTGCAAAGTGCTGGTATCTGGGTATGGATTCCGCTCTGGAACCTCTAGGCCACTTGCTTGAGCTCTCTGAGCTTCAGGTCTCTGAGTGAGATAGGAAGGTGATGATAACATTAAACCTGGGCCTGGAAGGGTCAATAAAAGCAACAAAACACATGGAGAACTTACCTGTGCCAGGACTCCAGGGTTTACTTTATGAGCATTTTAATTCTCAGAGCAACAAGGGGAAGTGGGACCTATTATGTATGTATTGCTGGAAAAATCCAGGATCACAGAAATAAAGTGATTCCTACAGCAGACAAGCTCAGATTCAAAAAGTTGAATTTCAATCCCAGCACTTTGGGAGGCCGAGGTGGGTGGATCACGAGGTCAAGAGATCAAGACCATCCTGGTCAACAAGGCGAAACCCCGTCTCTACTAAAACTACAAAAAATTAGCTGGGCATGGTGGCGCGTGCCTGTAATCCCAGCTACTTAGGAGGCTGAGGC